CGCGGCCCCAGAACCCCTAAAGAAAAAAAACCCCCAAAAAAAAAAAAAAAAAAAGATGCTGAAGTTCCACATGGCTGATGGCAGTTTAAGTCTCAGACCTGGCAGTTTGACTTCTCACTTTCTCTCTCTCTGTCTTTCTCAAATCAAATTAAAACAAATAATCATAATAAATAAAGTTAAGTAAAATAAGTCTTTAAAAAAAAGTGGCTGGGCCCTGTTTCTGGTAGGAGAAAATGCAACTCATATTCAACATGGATACCAAGGCAAACACAAAGTTACAAGAACGCGCTCTGGGTCCCTGTACATACTAAATAGAGGCTAATTCTCCTTGAAATTTTAAAATACTTTAAATAGGTAACTTCCAAATTTTCATCTTTTTTGTTGTTACAAAAAATATTATCAGAGATATGCTTTACCTGAGACTCCACTTCAGTAAATGTCATCTTTAACGACACGGTAACATTTTAAAAGGATTGTATTTTTTTTCCTCTTTACAGACCCTTAAATGAAGTCAGATCTGTCGAGGCCTGTAAACTGGTCAGGTAGGCTGCCTCCCACTACCTGTCCGGGGAGGTACCCCTAAAGGGGAGGTGGTCTACATCATGCTGGATGAGTGTGGGGTGCGCGGTGTCTCCATCATTCACCTAGTACCGACTCTTGGGCTCCTCGTGCAAGCTAAAGAATCAGATCAATTTTGTATTTCTTCAGTGGCTGCCTTGGGACATGAAAGACCATGCTCCACAGGACGTAACAGGGAGAAATAAGAGCCTCAAGAAAAATAATCCTCCGTAGCCCAGGGAAACATTTAAAGTTAAAATAAATCACTTGTAATAAACTCTTTTTTTTCTTTTTTGGAGAGATTTTTGCTATAGGGCGTGTGCTCTCACCAGAAAGACAGAGAGAGACAGAGAGACAGAAAGCAAGAAATCACACCCTCCCCAGGAGGGATGGCCACACTGCAACTCCTTCTCTTCCATTCTCCTCTCGGGATCTTGGGCATGCAAGCACACACACCTGGCGTGAGTTTAAGCTGCCAGGTCCGGGACTCGAACCCGGTCGATTACATGGGAGTTCAACGACATAGCCATTACGCCAACTGCTGGTCCTGTAATAACCTTTTTTAAAAAGTTTTTTCCCCCTATGGGACCAGCAGATGGTGTAATGGTTATGTCACTGGACTCCCACAGTCAACTGTGATTTGAGTCCCAGACTCAGCAACTCAAAACTCACACCAAGTGCGTGTGTGTGTGTGTGTGTGCCCAAAATCCCGAAAGGAGAATGGAGGAGAAGGGATTGTAGCATGCCATCCCCCCTATGGGGGTGAATTCTTGCTTTCTGTCTCTCTGGTGAGCACATGTGCCCTATAGTGAAAAAGTCTTCTATAAGACATGTGTGCTCACCAGAGACAGAGAGAGAGACACGGAGAAAATGAGAAACCACACACCCCCAAAGAGGGATGATTATATTGCAATCCCTTCTCCTCCATTCTTCTCTTAGGATTTTGGGCACACACATGCACCAGACATAACTTTTTAAAGAATTATTTGTTTAATTTTATTGATTATTAATTTTCAATTTGACCAGAAAGAGACAGAAAAAGAAAGTGAAAAAGCAAGCCATCAGGTCTGGGACTCAAACTGTGGTCATCCACGTGGGAAACAAGTGCTTAACCACCACACCACCTGCTGGCCCCAGCCTGACATAATTTTTAAGCTGCCAGGTCCAGGACACGAACTGCACAGTCAGCTATGTGAGATCCAGCACATTAACCTCTATGCCATTTTAATGTTCTACAGAAGAATGTGTCACAGATTCCTGAGGCGGCTACTGACTGAGGAGAGCCGGCACTCCACCCCTGTTGGGCGCCTCCTGCTTCCTGTGCTCCTGGGATTCCGCCTGGTGCTGCTGGCTGCCTGTGGTCCTGGGATCTACAGTGATGAGCAGAGTGAATTCGTGTGCAACACCCAGCAGCCAGGCTGCAAGGCCAGCTGCTTCGATGCTTTCCATCCCCTTTCTCCACTGCGCTTCTGGGCCTTCCAGGTCATCTTAGTGGCTGTTCCCAGTGCCCTCTACATGGGTTTCACCCTGTATCACGTGATCTGGCATTGGGGAGAATCAGGAAAAGGGAAGGAGGAGCAGGAGGCTCTGATCCAGGAAGGGGACAGTGGCAGAGACACCTCAGGGCTTGGAAGCTCCAGGTTGTTCTGGGCCTATGTGGCACAACTGGGGGCCCGACTGGTTCTGGAGGGAGCAGCTCTGGGACTTCAGTACCATCTGTACGGGTTCCAGATGCCCAGCTCCTTTACATGTCGTCAAGAACCTTGCCCCTTTCACATCTCTTGTCATCTGTCCCGCTCCTCTGAGAAGTCTATCTTCCTAAAGACTATGTTTGGGGTCAGTGGATTTTGTCTCTTGTTTACTCTTTTGGAGTTTGTGTTTCTGGGTCTGGGAAGATGTTATAAGCCTTTGGGGACTTTTCTAGGTGTGTCCTCTTCTACCAGTCACACCCTCGCTCTGAGCATGAGGAACCTCAAGCAGACCCATCTGCCTGGCCAGATTTGTTCCTTTGGTTCTTTGGACCACGTGCCCCCATAGCCCCTGTGAATTGGAAAATCTCCTGCCCAGCCCCTACGTGGCTACAGCCAAGAGGAAGGATCTTTAACCAAATTAGTCAAGCCAATGTTATCCCTTGAGATTCCAGACTTGGAGCCAACAATGCCTGTAGTATCTGCCAGGGGCACAACAGAGGAGGAAAGGAGCTGAGTGCACTGAGTGAACCTCTGCTTCACAGGCAAATGGAAGATATGTCTGGAAGCGCAGAGGGAGAAAAGTGGAATTAGTGAAATTTAGAGCTAGGAGATCCTGTGTTAGGCCAAGTTGGCATAATCACCGCCATGTTAGGGAATGCTGGGGCAAATTAGCTTAATTGCTACCCTGTTAAGTCTTCAAGGACGGAGCCCACTTTGTTAGGGCCTCAAGGACGGGAACCAGGAGTCTGGGAACTCTCAGATAAGTGGAAAACGGGAGGGCCCAGCACCTCCGAGGCAAGGTCATCCAAACCCCTAGCTGAAAGTCCTTACTCATCTAGACCTGAACAGGCTGGACCCTCGCTTCTCATACCCCCCTTCCTTTGTGTGTGTTACATTTTAGGGAACATCCTGAACTATAAAAGATCCCTTTCTCTTAGGCACGGGGTCCTTGTTAAGGCCCGCTGTGACGGGCAGAAACTCAAACCCCAGCTAGCTGGAAAAAGAATAAAAGCCTCTTTTGCAGTTGCATTGTCGTTGTCTTTTCTGTGTCTCCATCAGTTGAACCGATCTCTGGACCCTTACACCTGCAGTCTCAAAGAAAGACACAAAGAGAAAGAGGTGGTGACAGCGCCAGGGTTGTATGTCTTCACTGCTGATGGTTTACCAATGTCTAACCCCACCACCCCTTAAGGTATCCTTCCTTTCTTGAGTAGTATAAAATCCCATGTGATCTTTAAATAAACCTCCCTACTTGTTTTTGTCACCTTGGCTGGGTTCTGTTTCTTGATCCTAATTAATCCATAAGGACATTTCTATTATCAAGGTGGGGGCCTGGGGACCAGCAGTTAGCGTAATGGCTATGTCGCTGGACTCCCATGTAGCCAACCGCGCTTTGAGTCCTGGACCCAGTGGCTTAAATTCACGCCGGGTGTGTGTGCGTGCATGCCCAAGATCCCGAAAGGAGAATGGAGGAGAAAGGATTGTGGCATGACCATCCCCCGGGGGGGGGATTTCTCATTTTCTATCTCTCTGTCTCTCTCTGTCTCTCTGGTGAGCGCACGTGCCCTATAGCAAAAACCTCAAAAAAAAAAAAAAAAAAAGATGGGGTCTGCAAGAAAAAAAGAAAATGTGGACTCAGGCTGTGGTATCTAGACACACAGTGAGCCATGAGAACTCACACGCGTTGGCACAGGAAGAGGGCCACCCCTGGATTGGAAGCAATTACTCTGCTATCCCCTATAATCTTGTGGGGCCCAGGCAATATGCTTATGAGATTTAAGTCAGTGTCTTCTAAATGTAAAGATAAACTCTGGGTTCCATTTACTTTTCAATTATCTAAATCCCGGTAAGAAAAAGACACACTTCCACCTACACATCCTCACTTTGTTTAAACACAGGCTTTTCCAACTGCTTGGGAAACATTGGTCACTGTGACGGGGGTAAGAGGTTGCAGAAGACCATGGGAAATGTTGAGTCACTCTCTGTCCCTCTGGAGCACCTCCCTTTCTGACGCTCCTAGAAAGTGTATTGAGGGGCCAGCAGGTGCCGTGGTGGTTAAGGAGCTGGACTCCCACGTGTCTGACCGTAGTTTGAGTCCCGGACCTGGTGACTTGAAAATCATACCAGATGCATGTGTGTGTGTGTGTGTGTGTGTGTGTGTGTGTGTGTGTCCAAAATCCCAGGAGGAGAATAGAGGAGAAGGGATTTTGGTGTGGCCATCTCCCCGAGGGATCATTTCTCACTTTCCTTCTCACTGTCTCTCTGTCTCTCTTCAGAGAGTGCTTGTGACCTATGGCAAAAACCTAAAATTACAAAGGGGGTGGGAAATTGAATCTCCTTGCACAGAGTAAATTATTTGAACAATGTTGGACATGAGCCTGGGGAACCAGGGTGACGTCATCCCTGCCCAGTCCACTATTTCCTTTTCCAGACTATGTGAGGCATTTGAGTTAGAACAACGATGATCAACAAAACTCAGACTATTGGGTAGCTTAAGCCAGCTGCACTGGGGCTAGGAGATAGCATAGTGGTTACATCACTGGACTCCCACATGGCTGACTGTGGCTTGAGTCCCAGACCCAGTGGCTTGAAACACTCTGGACACATATGGGTGCATGCCCAAGATCCCAGGAAGAGAGTGGAGAAGGGGTGGTGGTGTGACCATCTCTCCAGGGAGATGATTTATCACTTTCTCTCTCACTGTTTCTTTCTAGCAAGCACATGCACCCTATCGCAAAAACCTCTAAAAACTCAACCAAACAAAAAACCCCAGCAGCACTGGAGAATAGAGATTCAACAAGAATCCAGAGTATAGCCACAGGAAGTTCATTGGGAAGACCTCTACAGTTGTATAGGAGCTCTAGGGTTGGAAAATTACATACTCTCCCCGACTTTACAGTTAAGGAAATGGGTGCAAAAGAGGTGGTAGCAGGGGTGGTAAAGGTTCCCCTACCAGATATCAAGATATAAAATATCAAGGTATAGATACAATACTGTCTGCTTGGTCAAATATCAACATATAAATTAAGACTTTCTCTTCGGTCAAATGATCTATACCAAGCTGACATCCGGAGGGGCTTAACCGATTTGCACTTCCTCCACCAAATGCATGAGTTCTCTCATTCTCACACCTTTGCTCACAGAGCATGCAAGCCAGTTGCAGGTTTCCTTCTTAGGTTAATGGGACAGAATTGCAGCTTTCAGGACACACACAGGGAAGACTTCTGCTTTAGGCTGCAGTAGCCTATTACTTCCACGAGAGGGCACTGTGTACCCTGCTAACATATTCCTAGAGGTTCCAGCTGCTTTAAGGACCAGGAGGCGGCGCTGGACTCCCACATGGTTAACCAAATTTTGAGTCCTGGACACTGGCTGGCTTTCTTTTTTCTTTGTTTTAAATGATACATACACATAAAATTTACCATCTCAACCATTTTCAGTGTACAGTTCAGAGACATTAAGTGCATTCACACTGTTCTGCAACCGTCACCAACTACTTCCAGAACTCGTGTTTTCTTACAAAACTAAAACTCTGTACACTTTAGATAAAAATTCACCATTTCCCCTTCCCCCAAAACTCTATACTCTTTAGAGAAAAACTCACCATTTCCCCTTCCCGCTAGCTCCCGGTAACCACCATTCTACTTTCCGTATCTGAATTTGTCTGTTCTAGGTATATGTGCAAATGGCATCATACAATTTTTGTCTTTTCATGACTGACCTATGTCCTTTAGCATAAAGTCCTCAAGGTTCATCCATGTTGTCACATGTGCCAGAAATTCCTTCCTTTTAAAGGCTGAATGTATACAGCACATTTTGTTTAACCATTCATCTGTTGATAGATAACTAGATTGGTCTGGCTATTGTGAATGCTATAAACCTAAGTGTACTAAAGTTTCCAATTTCTTCACTCCCTCACTGACACCTATTATTTGGGGATTTTAGCTAGTAGCCATCCTTGCTTGTTTTAGGGTTTTGCCACAGAACATGTGTACTCAACCAGAGAGAGCCAGCGAGAGGGATGGTGAGAAATCACCCCCCAGGGAGGATGGCCACCAGCAATCCCTTCTGCTCCATTCTCCTCTCAGGCTTATGAGCACGTGAGAACTGGCGTGATTTTCAAGCTGCCAGGTCCAGGATTCCAACAGCCGGCCAGGTGGCAGTCCAGCGCTTTAACCACCACACTGCCTGCTGGCCCCAACTAGCAGCCATCCTAGTGGGTGTAGGTGGTCATCTCTGAATTCTTGCACACTTCATTTTGTCTTCTTTGAACTGTTAAATATTTCCTGTCATTTTGAAAGCACAGACTTTGATTTTATTACGCTTCGTTTATGAGAGGAGGCTTAGGCAGTGGAAAGAGCACAGGCCGTGATGGCACAAGTTCTGGCAAGGATGGCACGCAAGTATGTCACTGTCAACCCAGAGCAAGGGAGAACTTTCTCCAAGGCTTCAGTTTCCTCCTCTTCCTCCTCCTCCTCCAGGAGGAGCCAGCATGGTAGACAGCCATGCTGCAATCTCTCAGTTGAACGCAGGGCTGGGTACACTGAACGTGTTCTTCCACAGGTGACTGCGGCGTTCTTGTCTGTCTTTCCGCTCGTTTTGCTGCCCCAGAAGTAAGGCACAACAAAGCTGGGAGTAGGGTGTGTCCGCGGCCAGGGAACCACCGAGATACGGGGCCGCCGAGACCCTAGAGAGGGCTCCTCGGCGGCGGAAATCGGCGACACTTCCGGCCTTTGTGTGTCGGCTGTGGCGGCGGCTTGCCGGGGCCGATGTGGGGCGCTTCGCCTGCAGCCGGGCGGCGAGTGTGACATGTTGCGGGGGTCCCAGCACGGAAGCTAGGCGCTGTCTCCAAACGTACAGCGCCAGTCTCGCCCCTGGGCGCCGCGTCTCTCCTGCTCCACATTTTTGGTCTCGCCCTGCCTCAGCCCCTCATTTCGGGAGTCTTTGGAGGCAGCCTGGTCCCTCTTAATTAAGTCCATGCAACTGTCCATAGAAGCGCCTTTTGAAAACGACCTTGTGGAAAGTCTAAGTTTTTGAACTGGAAGACGCACTCTGGATCTCTTGATTTCAGTTTTCATTATCCTGCAAAGTGTATTTAATAACCCCGGCGTCGGGCTGGGTGTAGGGGAATGTAAATTCCAACAAGATGCTCTTTGCCTTTTCCTCAATGGGCCACTAGCAAGTGTACTGATGGGTGTTCTCAATGGACAGGATTCGGGTGGAGAGAGAGATGGCAGATAAAAAGCCGCTGCTGCAGGAATCAGCGAAGACTTCATCGGAGTGGGGTTCCGATCCCATTCCGGATATGTGTTTATTCTGTGCTGGGTAGTGGACATTAAAGAAGTGTGACCGCAGAACCCTGCTCTAGAGATCGGTAAATCACTTCTGAAAACCGCTGTGCCCTTCATACAATAAAACAAAATGTAAAAACCTCTGGGTTTGTTTTCTACAGATGCTACAGCAGAATGAGAGCTGACTGCCCTGTACTGGCCAATTTACTGAATCGTTTGGACCCTCAAATTCCTTAGGGATTTTACAAAAGAGAGATAATAGTAGTAACCATTTAATAGGGAGAAATGAATGAGGTTAATACAGTAAAGCATCTACAGTGTGTAGCAGATAGTTCTGGTAAGGAGTAGCTGTATCTTTTTTTTTTAATCACTGTTCATTAACATTGAGAATGTGATAGTCAGTATCTCCTTGCACTT